ATGGACACAAAAGACAGATAGTCGGACAAAGATAGAACTTACCACTTGTTCATTCGTCACTGTCTCGCCATCCACTTCCGCCGTTAACGTGAGAAGCATCCAAACGTCTTGAGCAGTGACGTTAGAACCTTTCGGAAGGATACTATCGAGTCCCTTCGCATTGTAAACAACCGTCCCATTCAAACTCGGAACTGAAAACTTCGCCGTCGACGTCCGTCCGACCTTCTCCCCTTTCCAATCAAACCAACTCATCTCAACACTTCCCTTAACCTCTTCCCATCTATCGCTCATAACCCTAACCTCCAAAGTCTCATTAGTCGGCGTCCAAAACGGATAAACAACAACAGGAGAGAAAATATTCGCCATTCCATATTGAAGAACCTTCCATCTTCCCGAATATTCAATAGACGACCATGAAACACCTTGCCAAATATCATTAAGTTGCCAAACAAGAGCTCCAAGGTTGTTTTCTCCTAACCCACTTCCACGTCTATACCACGCTATTTCAGATATCATATTCAAAGATTGAAAAACTTGAGTACTGAAACACCATTGAGCGAACGTATGATTGGTTGTTGATGTGAGAGAAGGTGAAGGTAACCAAAGTTGGACTGCTGATGTCATTTGTTGTTGACCTTGAGGGGCATTTGGGTTGGGGAAGGCGAGACTTCCAGCGGGTGGATGATGATCTCTGGACATTACTACTGTGGAGTTGAATGTAAAATCTTCCGGTGATATTAGAGCTTCTTCCCAACTGAAGAAAGATGGCATTGAATGAAATCTGGTACATCATTTTCGTCAGTTTCTGGCAGTAGTCGGATCATAACTTGAATATGGTTCAATACGCACCCGAATTCGTTCACGAATCTGTAATTGATCATGAGAAGGGTATCAGTGAGACCAGACAATCGAGAAACGTCAAAGAAAAACTCACCTAGACACTGGATAGGTGCTGTAGTTGAAAGCTTGCGACGCATCGTAGTTGTATCGTTCTGGAAGAAAGAACAACGCGAGGATCAGTCGACACGGCGCAGCATATCAAAAAGGCATACTACATACCGCTATTACCGTATATATGACCAGGAGTAGTATTGGCAAATCTTATCTCATAAGGATCCAAGCTAAGCACGCCGCCCGTAGTAGAGCAATCGGTATATGCCACCTTCAAACGTAAGTTGAAATACATCAGTGAAGACGTACTACCAGATACGAAAGGTTCGATTGAACGTAACTTACCGAGTGCGTCTCTTCAATGACGATATCATGAAGGAAATGTCCGAATAAAGTCTCAAACTACTCAATTATAATCAACATCCCTCGATAAACGGTATCTCGAACATAAAAACATACCTCATCAAGATAATGACTCCCATTAGCCACCATCCCTTGAATCCCAAGTACAATCCCTTCAATTTCGTTCCCACCAGCCCATTGAACGTTACTAGGATGTTTATTAATCCTCCTCACATTCTCTCTAACCTCAGGTTCAATATTTTCCAAAAGAAAATCATCAATTGGATAAAGGGCGTCCGAGAAGATTAATTCGGACCATGCGAGGATTCCAAGCTTGTCGCAGGTGGAATAGAAATCGTAGCCTCCCGTGAGTTCATCGGATGGTTGGTAGATACCGCCTCCCCAAATTCGAAGCTGTAGTAGATTATGAAGGTAGCGATTGTAAGAGAGTTTTGAATTGAAGATATGTTAGGATAGAAGAACTTACCATGTTTTGTCCACTTAACACTGCGCTTTGAAGAACCCAACTAACTTGTTCAGTTGTCATACGAGCATAGAATGGATCGAAAGGCTAGTATGGTAAGTTTTAGGAACCCAACGTCAGTATATGCATCGAACACGAGCATAAAATCTGAACATTCGCGAACGAAAAAAAAAAAAGAGAGAAAGTATCGAAGAAAGAAGAACGACAGAGACGGAAAGACAGAACAATAACTAAGAAAATAACTTGAATACTCACGATAATATTCGTTCCCAAGCTGTAAAACTCTTTTCCATTAACTTCAAAATGCCATTGATCACCAGGTGTAATACCCCTTTCCACAACATCCTTCTGCGAATAAGCTGATTGGACTAATTGAATCGTTCGGAATCCAGTTTGAACTTCGAAGCTCACACTACTCGAAGTCGAGGAGGAATTCGAGTCAATGGTGTTGGGCTGAGTTGGATGCGCAGGGATGGGGATCTCCGGTTGAAAATCCAACGTGACAGTGACATTATAAAGTTTAGGAGTACCCAGATTCCAAGGATACCAACGTTCAGGAATACCTTCCTTAAGTCTCAACTGTCCACTAACCCATGTCGGCTCTCCATTTGTCCCTCCAACTGAAACCGGAATCCTATCATCATCCCTCACCTTCATCTGCCCAGACCCAACTCCCAGTTCAGGTATGTCAATTGACAATGCAATTTTATCAAGCATCGCAGCAGATCTTAAAGCCAGAGTCACGTTAACGACCCAATCTGAATTTTGATTCGGAGTTGAGATGGAAGTTTGGTTTAGTTTTGTTATTTCGATTGAGGATTCTTGAATGAATAGTGGGGAGTTGGGAGGAGAGGATATTAGGAGAGGGTGGGAGGCTGGTTTCGGTGAAGAGGGAGGGGGAGGATGGATAGATGGTGATGAAGGTGGAGCGGAAGGAGGAGAAGAGGAAGAAGAAAGAGTGGGAGGGAGGAGTGACTCTGAAGTAACAAGAGAAGCTTGGGATGAAGCTAGATTTGAAAGTACGACCAAGTATGCTGGTTTGAATATCCCACTTGGAACGAATGCAGGTCCCTAAATCAAGTTGATTAGACACATTCAGTAAAACGAAAGAATGCGAAATGGAGACAAGAAATCATACATACCCAATCCCAACCAAAATCAGACTGAGTCTTCCGAATAGTCTGTCGAACACCAGCGTACTCAAACTACAAAAGAGGACGAAAGGAGACGAAAAACCCCGTCTTGGATATCAGCCTGGCAAAAAACAGATAAAGATAACAACGTAACAACGTACATCAGGTGTTAACGGATTCTCAATATCAGGTCTAGAAGTCAAATTCAACCCATAATACCATGCAGATTCCAAAGATACGGTCAAATTAGTATCCGAAGTCGAGGTAGGTGAAGAGAGAATATCCGATATGTCGAATACGTATTGCCGAAATTGGTTGTTGACCCAAGCAAGAGGTTTTCCAGCTAAACTCTATATGATGATAGAAAAAAGATAGTTGCATGAAGAGGAGGAAGGGGAGAGGAAGAAAGAGGCTTACGATATTAGCTACAGTATCGATACCATAGAAAACAAGTAATGTTTTCTTCGAAGGGTCTGAGATGATCCCGTGTGTCAACGGAGATATATCTGCTGTGTACGTCCAGTTGTCGTTCACAATCCAACGTTGATTGAAGTCTGAACAAAATTCCAAAAAAAAAAAACCGACATTGATATTCGATTGACTGAGACAACGATTGAGATACGAAACTCACCATTCGTCCCCAATAGAGGCTCCGTGATGATCCCAGATTTAAGAAGATCTAAATGAACTTGAGAAGGGACAGATCCCGGGATAACAATTGAACCATTTTGATTCTTCAATGTCCACTCTACGTTTGAAAGACTGAGAACATCTGCGAGGACCATTGGTAACGGACCAAGTCCAAGTGATCCAAATAATGCAAATGACGTAAATAACCAAAGGGTGGCCTTGAAAATGCTTGACGTAAGACCCATGTTTGATGTTCAAGGTTCGAGGCTGATTTGATCAAAGGAGGATGTATGTGGCTTCGCTCAACATCTGTTCATTGATACCAGTTGACCTCTTCTCATTTTATACCGAGATGAACTTGATGATTCTACCGAGAGAAGACATTTGAGATTATCTTCGTATCACCAATCATGACATTAACGACACCTGAGAAGGAGCGAAGTTTAGAAAAGAAAGCAGATGATCACAAAATGTATAAGACGTACCATCAGACTTCACGTAAATGACCCGAGTAAGTAAAGCATTCAGGTTGAAAGTTGAAAGAGTCTGGAAGAAAGGCCAATAGAACTTGAAGTAATGAGCCAAGTTCTGGTCCTGATCAGTAGAGTGAACCAATTGACTGACTGAACATTGAAGTAAACCCGACAATTTGTGACCACCATTGAATATCGAGAGAAGTATCTTCGTGAGGAAGTACTCCTCGGAAGCGGGTGGGTGACTGGTCGAGGTATAAAGGCACCAGCCACCTGACCTAACAAGCACAACGTAGAAGTCGGTGAAACATATGCAACACTACAGACGTTGGAAAGATGGAAAAGATAAAAATACTTATTAGAAAGATTAAAAGTCTCATGATAATAGTGCACGGGCCGGCGGATGGTGGATACTTTGCTATAGTACTTTGTCAGATTCCATTCGACCTGAGATAGAGGAAGCGCTGCGGGGGTATGCGAGCATGTATAGAGTGCTACCTCCGCTCAGGCTTCTTTCGATATCAAGTCAAGATTTCGACGAAGATGTGCAAAGGTGTTTGAAAGGGGAGTCGATGAACGACAGCCATGCGACAGTTGTTAGATGAATCGGATCTGAGTTAAAGGTTGGTTGTTTGGTTTCTTGTGCTATCTCCAAAATTTGACAACTTCAAAGGTAAATAAAATCATCATTCGCAGTTGTCAAAGGAAATGAAAGAGGTATATACTCACATAGTGCGTACATACATAAGTTATCAAGCCATATTTGAGGTCGAGGGGCTCAGCCTGAGATTTCGTTATGAGCTGTCAATGTTAGGGCATGTCTGTACTCGCAAAATGACCTGCATAAAGAGTCTGAATAGTACTTTGTGTGTATAATTTTCATGGAATATCACGAAATCGACACGGTGTAGGTGTGGCAATGGTCTGACACGAAAATTCTCATTGGCTCTGAGAATCTGAGATGTTGGGCGCTGCTATTGGTCACGTGCACGTCTCCGAGAGTCCTATAGCATATAGTAAGGTACATTTTAATTGCTGAGCTTGCAGGCATTAATGGGGTAGTGGTAACCTGGGTCGTTGCCAAGTCGACAAAGTTTCGACCCGCCGGGGGTTCGATTCCCTCTTAATGCATAGCCAAAACTTAAGATAATTTTTTTCATAAATCATATATCATACTACCATGATGGCACCACGTACGGAAGACTTGGGATTCATCATATCCTCGAGTGATGTCATGTTAAGCAAAATCCTAGGTTATGTCTGAATTTCTTTATTTCTCGAGCTCCCCTTGAATATTGAACTAGCTCAGGATCTAAGAACTTGAAGACGATAAATCAAACCCCAAGAAGAAGTGTAAATACTAGCAATGATGCATGTACACTGTAGAATCGGACGCGTATGGTCACGGCAGTAACCTAGCACCTGTATTTTTTTTTTTTTTTTTTTTGAATATTATGGCAGTTTGTGATTCATATTCATTGCCTACTGATAGATATTTCATTCACTAGATGCATAGTAGCTATAGGATGTTCAGACATGCTCACTCCGGTAATAGAGCTATTGATCCTCCAACAAATTTGAAGAGAGATATCCACTTCAAGTCTTCAAGTACGGATTCTCAGCTAGGTTCGGTTCGTTTTCTGTTTTTCGATCACATATATACTATATTCAGCTGCATGCAACCGTGAAGATCACCAACCCTTCATCGATGTACTCATTCAGCCTACTCGTACATATACATAATGACACTGATCATGATCCGAACAATGTCGACATTAGCCTGTCTGCTGCTTCTTACTTGAACCATTGCAGTGGGATGAACATGATGATGATTGAACGAAAAATCACCAAGGAAGGCCTACTGTAACTGGGTACGAATTTGATATCTACTATCAATATCTGGGCGTGCTGACCAATGATCCATGCATGTTCTCAATCACAGTGAGTTCAGTTTGGAACAAGGGGGTAGTTGTAGCAGTGTCAATGACATGAGACCAACTTGATGTCTTCGAAGGTGATTCATGATCATGATATTGACCGTGAACTGCTTGGACACTTACTTACTTAAAAAAAAACTCGAAAGGTACAATTTCGATGAATTCGAACATTGGATAATTGTTGGACGTTGGACACCAAGGAGGCCTACAGAGTACGAAGTTGACATTAGTGAAGGCTCTGATTACTGAGGATGGGATAGTATGTACAAGGAAGGTTCGGATGAGGGCCGATCACGGTGAGTTACACGTATAGGGTGGATCTATCGCCCCTAGATAATGCTCTAAAGGGCAAATTTTCGCCAAAAATGCGACGTATAGCTAGGTGACCGGTTCACCTATGATATATGATACACGGAGGTCCTATGGGAAGAGGTAACATAGATCGAGCATTTGACAGTTGTAGTAACGTCGCCGCGGCCGGAAAAGCTCGAGGTTCCGAGTCGTGCGAGACTGGTGAATGAGAAACCAACATATGAATGCCACGTGAAGAAGCTTGGACAACCACTGGTTTTCTTGTAAAACTGAAGTTAGACACAAGGTGAACGAAGGATGGATGATTTGCTTGTCGCATACCTACGGAGGTGTATCAACATCATATTTTTTTTGTACAACCTGATTTTCCACGTCGGCGTCCCCGTCAAAGGCATTCAAGCTTCAAGCTTCAAGGAAGGTTTGAAAATCGTTTGAATGAGTAGATTGAGTGTTGCTTAATGTTGAACGTTGAACAGCTGTGACTTGTGACACCGCCGGGAGATCATACGAGGCCATAGACTGCCATAGAACGTTTGAACGGGTATCAACGAAACGAACTTGAAGAGTATGATAGCAACAGATTCATGGCATAGTACGTTGACCGTGAAAGCTTGGACTTTGCACCAAGTTGCCAACTACAAGTGCTTTTCTTGCAATGCCGAGGTCAGACACAACTCAAATAACGCTGAGGGAGTGATTGATACGGATTGACTTACCTATTAGCCTAGGGTACCTTTATGATTGGAGATGTATCACGACCACAATCTATTCTCTATGACATGATGAACTCGTCAGTTGATCATGTTGCCATTGAATGTTGCCCGAAACACTAAACAACGAAGTACTCGTCCTTTTCCTGCCAAATGCCCTTAAGGTTTGACACATCTTCCAACACGCCGGGCTATCACTGAACCTGTAATCGTCTGATTGAACAAAAACGACGATGGATTGAAGATTCAATGAGATGATTCTTTTAGAACCACCGCCGGAATAACATCAACAGCTGTCAAACCTGCGTACCTCGACCACAAGGATCATCCTGGTCTCCACTGACATGCTCGCAAGTATCTAGAGTTGTGAATCATGCGATGATAGGGGACGAATGTATACATTGTATAGGGAAATCATCATCTGGTCACTGCAAAGGACATATGCATCTGTTATTAGCGAATTCGAAGACGAATGATTACAAATGGACTGAGGAACCAACCGTCAATGTATGCCACCGCTTTTCTTCCTTTCCGAGCCCGGCTGTCGTGCTATCACGATACACCAACTGGTAACTAGTAGCACTGTCCACCTCGTCGGCTGTCCTAGACCATCGCGGCTCGAGCTATACGGAGATAATAACTTGGAATCCCGGAGTTTCGAGTTATACCAGAGCGGGATTCAAGTCGTTCACAGACGCATATAGTACTGGCAACTTGAAGGACGATCAGATCAATGACGTGAGCGATGGATCCATACTCATACGTGTAACTCACCATGATCGGCTCTCATCCCCTTCCTTGTACATATCCATCCTCAGGCCTCAGTACTCAGTACTCAGTGCCTACATATTAATAGGCTAATGTCAAATTCGCACCCTGTAGACCTCCTCGGTGTCCAACGTCCAACAACCATCCAATGTTCGAATCCATCGAAGTTGTACCTTTAAATGTCTTTAAAGTCAGTATCAGCTCATCGTCAATAGTAACATGATCATGATGAACTTGGAAAACATAAAGTTGGTCTCGTGTTATTGACACTCTTGGTCCAAACTGAACTCACTGTGATTGAGAACATGCATGAATCATTGGTCAGCACGCCCAGATATTGATAGTAGATATCAAATTCGTACCCAGACACAGTAGGTCTTTCTCGATGATTTTTCGTTCAATCATCATGTTCATCCGACGAGTCGTTGTAAGATGCCGCGGACAGGTGGCAACGGCCCAGGTTTACCACTATGTACCCCATTAATGTTTATTAACTAATCATACATGATCACAAATTGGTACATTTCTTGCTTACTTTATGTTAGAATCCATAGAGTGAGTTATCCGAGCCATGCATGTTTTAGGCTCTTGAGTTGGGTTGAGTTGTAAACACCCGATGCCTTACTATGTTTTATATATGTAAGTATACTCGACGCAGGTGGCAGGACACTGTAACAGATGCTGTTTGACAATAAGACAATGATATAAGAGAATAGTTGTATGTACGATGTACAACTCCGAAGGAAAGCATACTAATCCATAATCCATGAAATCCATGGTCCAAAAAAAACCAAGCCGGGTACGAATGAGAGTGAGCGAGGAACTTAAGATGAATTTGGAACTCATGTGATACAACGAAAAAAAGACAATAAAATAGAATAGAATAGAAGTTCCGATTGATTCATAGTATTGTGAATGGACGAAGGTAACCAGAAAGAAAAAGGCACGAAAAAACAACAACGACGACGAGTCGGACCAGAATACAAGTACAAGCGAAATGAACTGAATGAGATGCCGTAGTAGGTACTGTTTGGGAGACGAAACAGGTGAAATACATATACAAAAGTCCCCATAAAAAAACCCAATAGATAGATCTCTTTCAAAGCTCCGAGATAAGAACCGTCTTCGTGACAGTAGGCATCATCATACCATGACCGTCCTCCGAACTAGGATACATCTGAATCTGATGTTTCGTCTCAGATGAAGGAATAATCCCAATCTACAAAAAACCAACCAAAAAATCCAAAGTCAAAAAGTGTAAATGAAAGAACCACTTCAGAACGAGTCGGAACTCACCTCAACTTCCTCACCCTCACTGGCACTCTGATTTCGAACTTGTCCGCCCGGGATACGACTATGTTGAAGTCTCGTACTACTCTTTCGATCATTGTTACTGTTATTGTTGTAGTTATTCAATCTTCCTTTACTCCCTCCTCTTCCTTCCATGATATCCTCTCGTCCGTTGAGCCTGATCAATCCAATCCAATCAGTGGTCAGTGTTCTGAGTTCGGTGCGAAAAAGGGGAGAATAGGGAAAAGTGAAGAATGAGGAATGAAGTACTTACATCGCGACTATATCATGTTCATGTTTTGACGATTGAATGTACGACGGTCGATAATGGATTGATATAGTATGGGGCAAGGAAAGATAGTTCAGTTCGAGTTAAACGAAACAACAAAAAGAAGAAGGAAGAGAGAACCTCGGAATTGGAAAAACTTGAAGAGACAAAGAAGAGGACTCACAGAACGTATTCGCATAAAGTTTCGTAACGTTCACATGGAACGCAAGCCTACGTAGTAGTCAAAATCAAAAAAAAAAAAAAAAAAGTCAAAAACACCCTTTCACCACGATTCGATTCATCGCAATTAAATAAAGAAGGCTAACTCACCAATAAACATTATCCCTCCTCGAATGAAAAGTGATCAAAAGCAAAGTTTGAATCAAAGTTACTACAACTCCTCTTTGGACTATATAATGAATCAAGGATTTGATGACTGAGTTTGTTCTATTTTTTGGAGTGAATGAACGAATGGAGAGGAGTGGGGGATGTTCGGGGGTTGGGTGGCAGACGAGAAGAGAGTGAGAGTTCGTGGACGCCGGTCGGGGTGGTGATGAGTTCATGTTCATGTTCATGTTAGCAAGGGAAGGATATAAGATTTCCATTTCGACAGTTATGAACGAAATTCGAAATTAGCGTATGAATGAGCGAAAAAAAAAATCCATCAGTCACATCCACAACCAAACGAATGCGATGCCACCAAATCGAAACTTCTGAAAAATGAAAAACGAGACTCACCTAACCATCCCAGTCCTAGCAGAAGCTAACAACATACACATAGATATCGTAGCCACAATATCAGTCAACGCTCCGAACCCTTTTGCAAGTCCAAAGAAGACCTAAAAA